CAAAGAATGGTGTTGGTAGGGGCTGGAGCAGAGTGAGGCGTTTGCCTTGCACGCGGCTGACCCGGGTTCAATTCCCAGCATTCTATATGGTCCCCCGAGCACCGCCAGGAGTAATTCCTGAGTGCATGAGCCAGGAGTAACCCCTGTGCATTGCTGGGTGTGATCCAAAAAGCAAAAAAAAAAAAAAAGGAGCTGGAGAGATAGCACAGCGGGTAGGGCGTTTGTCTTGCACATGGCCGACCCGGGTTCGATTCCCAGCATCCCATATGGTCCCCTGAGCACTGCCAGGGGTAACTCCTGAGTGCAGAGCCAGGAGTAACCCCTGTGTATCGCCAGGTGTGACCCAAAAAGCAAACAAAAAAAACCCACAAAAAGAATGGTGTTGGTCAGTACCTAACACGGCCTTACACATTGGAAATCAGGGGTGGGCAGGAGAAGGCGATGCTGCCTTTTCCAACTTCGCAACCATCTGGCGCAGGGAGTAATTTTATAGGCCGGATGGCATTTCCCTCCTGGGTTCTGTGGGTGTTAAGCAGCGAGTTGGGGGGAATGAGGTTGGGAGATTTCGACTATCTCCGGTACATTTTGACTTTTAGGCTGATGATACATTTTAAGCAGCCACTCCCTCCCATCCCCTTTGGCAAGATAATGTAGCAACAGAAGCCTCCGGTGGTAACACTCTCTCACTCATTCTCTTTAATAAAAGCCCCCATACCCTCCCACCCACCCACCCAGCCTGTCTGGGTTACACTCCTTACAAAGGGAGCCACGGCTAAATAGGACTCAGCTGTGCATGTTGGGTTAAGATAGCGGACTTCATTAAGGATTCTAGGCATGAAGGAATTTTTATTTAGGCGGGGAGAGAATCACTTGCGTGTTTCCATGGGCCCATTTGGATGCATTGGCTGGTGTTCTGGTGCTGGGGCTGGTGGTGGGTGGGACTCAGGCTGACCCCTTGTCGGGGCTTCATCCTTTTCTTTGTTTCCGGTGTCCCAGAGGGGACAGAATCAGAAACCTGCTTGTATGTGGAAAACCACCCTGTGAAAGACAAACCTTAGATGGGGGTCAGGGATGGGGCCAGAGAGGTCCTACAGAGGCTAGGGTGCTTGCCTTGTATGTGGCCAATAGGGGTTGATCCTCGGCACCCCATTTAGTCCCCTGTGCCCACCAGGAGTGATCCCCGAGCACACTGCCAAGAGTAAGCCCTGAGCACTGCAGGCTGTGCCTCCTTCCCTTCCCACAAAAATTGCTGGGGGCCAGGAATGTGGCTCAGTGGTCAGGCTCTTGCCTTGCACTGCGTGAGACCTAAGGTTAGATCCTGGCAGGGTTGGGAGTGAAGCAGGCCCATAGGAGAGTTAAATATTAGAAGGTGGAAATCAGAAGCAAAGGAACCCAGAGGGTGTCCTTTAGGGAGTACTGTCAACCCCCCACCAACCCCACCCCACCACCTCCCATGCATAACTTCCCCAGTGATTCAGACCCAGGGGGTAAGAGGGTTCAGAGCCCCAGCCCCCCCCAACCCATGGGAAATGCCGGAGATGCAAGCCTGCAGGTGTGGTTGCAGGTGTGGTTGCAGATGCAAGCCTGCAGGTGTGGTTGCAGCGAGAGTCAGCCCGCTGCGGGGAAGGGAGTAGCCCGAGATTCCACACATGGGGACCTGGCACCTTAGTCACCCCGTGGGGGTGTGACTCACCTGCTCCTCCTGAGTCACCCCACATGCATTCCCCCGCACCCCCCTCCCATCCCCCAGTTGTAGCCCTGACTGCTGCCTGGGGTGAGAGGCATGAGGGGGAGGAAGGGAACGTTTGCCAGCCGTGTGTGTGTGTGTGTGTGTGTGTGTGTGTGTGTGTGTATGTGTGTGTGTGTGTGTGTGTGTGTGTGTGTGTCCCTGCTGTGCTGCGGGCCCAGTTGCTCAGGGCCTCCTTCCCTTCCCTGGGTCCCCGCTCCTCTGTCCCCAGGGTCAGCTCCCTGAGAGCGCTTGTTTGGTCCCCCTGCAGAGGAGCCCCAGGATGCAACTGTGAGGCGGCGTCACGTGTCCACGTGCTCCTGCTCCAGGGACTGGAAGTGCCTGGGAGTTGGGGGAGAGGGGCGTGGGTGGTTGGGTGGGGGAGTGGGAGGGGGGTTGGTTGGGTCGGGAAAGGGGAGGCTTGGCGACTGGTGCAGTGATGGGGCCAGAGACAAGGTGCCCCCAGAGTCCAGAGCCAGCCCCCCCCACGCCACCTCTCTTGTCTCAGGGGAGGCAGTGGGTGCTGGGCTTGGGTTGCTTGTGGGGGTCCCAAGCTGGGGCAGCGACCACATCTCAGCCCGGTGCCCTGCCACTCCGGAGACCTCGGCTCGAAGAGGCCTGCGGCTCGCCATGCAGTGGTCCTGAGCCAAAGCAACTCCTGCAGCCCCAATTATGGTCGAAAGATTTATTTTGAAAGTACCCAAGGGACCGGAGTGATAGAGTGGGTAGGCTGCTTGCCTTGCAGGTGGCTAACCAGGGTTCGATCCCCAGCATCCCATATGATTTCCACGCTCCCCCACCCCCCACCCCATAGTACTGCCAGGAATGATTCCTGAGTGCAGAGCCAGGAGTAACCCCTGAGCATTGCTGGCGCCCATGTGATGATGAGACCTTTGGATCTTCCTTCACTCAAATCCTTCTGGGTGCAGACTCCAGCTGGGCCCTGCTCCCAGGTTGGGTTTTGGGTTTGGGGTAACACTGGCAGTACTCAGGGATAAAGGGCCACAATCCTGGGCTACAGCTAGGGATGGGGGTGGGGATGACTCAAGAGGGCAAGTGAGTCACAGCCCCACACGGTGACTTACTTTTAACAACATAAAAGCATACCCAGCCCTCTAGTGCACTGAGGCACTTGACGGAGGGAAGGGATAGAAGGATTTCTTTCTTTCTTTCTTTCTTTCTTTCTTTCTTTCTTTCTTTCTTTCTTTCTTTGCTGAATCACTGTGAGATACAGTTATACAGCTTTCATGATTGAGTTTCAGCCATACAGTGATGGAGCACCCATCCCTTCACCATGGGCCTTTCCCACCACCAATGTCATCAGTATCCTTCTCACCACCCCCAGCCTACCCCTCCCCCTGCCTCTGTGGCGGGCACCTTCTTACCCTCTCTCTGCTTTTGGGCATTCTGGCTTGCAATACAGATACTGAGAGGCCATCATGTTTGGTCCTTTGTCTACTTTCAGCACACATCTCCCATCCCGAGCGATCCCTCCAACCATCACTGACTTAGTGGTCCCTTCTCTATCCCAGCTGCCTTCTCCCCCAGCACTTGAGACAGGGAGAAGCTTTTTTGGGGGGAGCGGTGAGCTTCCGTTTCCCCAACTCTCCTGGTGGTTCTTGGCCAACTTGGCTGGTGGTTCAGTGTGAGGGCCTGAGGATGGGGTGCGGCTCCTGCTTGGTGATGCCGGGTACCGCCTGGACCACACCCATGGTGCTTGGGACCCTCAGGCTCAGTGTCGTGCCAGGAATCAAACCAGGGTAGACCACACACAAGACGTGTGTCAGCCCCTGCACTATCTCCCTAGTCCAGGATTGAGGCCTTTCATACCATCTGTCATCTGGGTGCTGAGGGGAGCCTCAGGAAGCCACTTGCCTTCCATCCCTCCCAGCTGCCTGACACCTGGGGCCTGGGACTGGGAGCAGCTTCTTCCGAGCAGCCACTTGAAGTGTCAGAGGTAGTTTAAGGTTTATGGCTCTAAGGGTTTGTCCGCCAAGAAACGGAGAGTCTGAGACAAGTGGCAGCAGTTTTGAATGCCAGTGATGGGTAGGAAGACTGAGGCTCACTCTGTGCTCCTGGGAATGGCTGAAGGGTGGAAGGGGGAAGGTGGGGGAGGGATTTAGGGGAAGGGAGAAAAGGGGAAGGGGAGGAGAGAGAAAAGGGGAATGGAGAGTAGGGAGAAAGGGGGGAAGGAGGAATGGTGGAAGGGGGAAAGGGAGGGGGAAGGGCAGAGGGAAGAAGGGGTTAAGTGATGAAGGGGTAAAAGAAAGGGTGGGAATGTGGCAGGGAGAAAGGGAGGGAAAAAGGGTGGAAGGGAGGGAGGAAGGGCAGAAGGCAGGAAGTGTGGAAGGGAGGAAGGCAGGAAAGGAGGAAGTGTGGATGGGAGGAAGGCAGGAAGGGTGGAGTGTATTGGATATGGGAGCAGCAGCTGCCTCTGTTGCCTGGTGGCAGTGCCCATGGGAAACTCCTGAGGTGCAAGGCTGGTTTAATCTCACAGTGAAAGCATTCACTTCCTCTCAGAGTTGTATGGGTTGTAAAGACTCATGTTTGCAAAAAAACAAACAAACAAACAAACAACTCTGTTAGAGAGGACTCTAAGTAAAATGCCCTGTGGGTATTTGGGAGACTATTCCTAATCTTACCCTACTCTGAGAAACCCTCATCCCTTGATGCCCTTTGGGCCAACCCAGGGAGGGAAGTAGGGAGATGCCTATTTGTGGCCCAACTGGGTTCTCTTTTATCTTGGGGAAAGGGAGAAGAAAGAGTGGGAAAAATGCCTGTGGGGTGAGAGCATGGGGACTGAGGTCTCCCGTGGCCAGAATCCAGCGTCATTCTTACACACCTGCTGTGCCTGCCCCCAACCCCACCCCCCAGAATTCCACATCTTCTCCTTACCGAGTCAGGGATTGTTGCCCCATTCTTTTGGGGCTCTCCCCATGCCCACAACTTGCCCTTGAAGCTTCTCTCCGGGCCAGGAGGCCACTGTCCATCCCGGCTTTTTCCGCAAGGCTCTGAGGCTCCGCTGTCCTCTGCGGGGACAGGTGTGGCGCAGATGTGAGGGTGCTGGGGGCTTCCCTGGACTGGTGGACATCTGGTAATCATACCAGCTTTCCAGAGCAGCCAGGAGCCTCCTGCGGGTGTAGATAAGCATGCATCTCAGGGTCCTTGTGTTTCTCTGGGCGGTGGGGAGCCGGAAGGGCACAGGGAGGGCGCACACGGAGGGTGGCTGGGCAGGGGCTCCCCACTGAGGCTCTGACCTGCACCTTCTCCCCAGGCATGGAGAGTGCAATCACGCTGTGGCAGTTCCTGTTGCAGTTACTGCTGGACCAGAAACATGAGCATCTGATCTGCTGGACTTCCAACGATGGTGAATTCAAGCTCCTCAAAGCAGAAGAAGTGGCCAAACTGTGGGGACTCCGAAAAAACAAAACAAACATGAACTATGATAAGTTGAGCAGAGCCCTGCGATACTATTATGACAAGGTAAACCTTGACTTGGCGCACAGCTGCCTTGGGGTGGGGGGTGTTTCACCCTCTGATTTTATAGACACAAGCAGGTAACGGTCACACTGGAAATGAAATAGCAATTCATAGACTTTTTTAGGGCAGAAAAAACCTCTTTGGAGGTTTTTTTTTTAACTTCTAGAAACTCTTTAGAACCTCCTAAAAACTTCCAGAAGTTTCTGTGAGTCAAATTTTGCTCCCTCTGCAAGGAACTAGGTGTAGGGGAGTTTTGGGACTCCGAATGGTTTTCTAGCTACCATAAATCCCAGCTTGAGTCACGACAGTGAATGTCACCACCTAAGAAAGCGTTTATCCTGCCTGATTAGACAGTTGTCTGAGTCGGGCCTTTGCTGGGACACTGGTCACTTGGATCAGTCCCGTAATCATCTTGGTGTCCTCATGTGTGAGTGACATGGAGACCATATCAGTGCAGGAAGTGCAGTGCTAACCAAGTCCTTCCCTGTGAAGCACTTTTAGACCAAGGTTTGGTAACTGGGGTTTGCAGCTTTGTGGCAAACTTCCCTAATGAAAGGAAAACCCATTTTCATTTTGAAATCCCAGAGATGAGTCAGTGCTTTTGAGAGTGATAACTCAGCATAGCTGCCAACACCAGGACACTTGGGGGTGGGGAATTTTAATGCCTCTGGAAGCAGTTAATGTGCTGACTAGGGCAAAATGGTTGCTGTTTAGGGGCCGTCATCCCAGGCCTGCAGTTATTGGCCATTTCTGTTCGAATCCATCCTTACTGGATATTTCCTTAACCTCTTCGACTTGAAGAAGACCTGGATGTGGCACTTAGACTCCTGATAAGCAGAACGCTTTTGTTCTGGCCATACCGTTCATATTGAAAGGTGAATTAAAACCTGATTTAAATATTAGTTCCTGATCTATATTTAGCGCCTTCTGTCTGCCAACCACTTTGGAATTCAAGACTGAAGGAGTACACATTTCAGGAAGTGGAAGCATCATTAATTATAAAGTGTTCCTTTATATGATGGTAATTGCCTATGATTATGTCATTGAAATGTTAAAGGTGCTTTCCTTTAATGTAGCAATTAATTAATCCTGTCTTAATGCAGAGCGCTGCGAAGATTGTAAAAGCACTTCTTGCAAATTGCACTGTCTGAAAGCCTGCAGATGGTTTATTGTTTTGCATTTTCCCCTAGGTTCTAAGCCACACAATGGGAATTAGGACCCTCTGCAGGAAAAACAGTCTTCTTGCCTGCTGGCAGTTTGCCGGAAAGCCTGGCTGTAGACTGTAAAACAAAGGAATCTCATTGTTTTGTATCTATCAAGGTGTCAAAAAGGATGCTGCCTGTGGGACTCAGTTTCACTTCCAAGTATTGCCTGCTCGCTCCCCTCCTTAGGTCCTAGGGATCCTGCCTCTTCCCCAGCAGGGGTGCTCTGAGCTGGGAATGACTCCTCCCAGAGCAGTTTAGACTCTACCTGATTTCCCTTGGGCAGCCTTTTCGGAATCGCTAGAGGAAGCAGTTTGCCAGCCCCGTCAGCCAGCCAGCCGGTTTGGGTGTTTGCCTTGCCTTCCCACCCTTCCTCCTCTTTCAAGTGACATCATCTGGCGAGCTGAGCCACCCCAGCTGGCAACCTCTTCCTCTGCTGCGACCCGGGAGGACCCGGAGGCTCTGACGGGAAACCTGCCCGAGTTCCTGCCACCGGGAAGCCGCAGAACCGGGGGTTTGAACCAGGCTCAGGCTCATCCGCGTGTATTCCCAGCCCAAAGGCACACGCCCTTCCCTTTCCAGATCATTCTCTCCCTTTGCCTTTGCATGTCTGATTTCCGCCCAGGTCAGGGGGGCAGCACGAAGGTGACTGCAGCCTTTGAAATTGTTAGTCACTACCCAGCAGCACCTCAGTGCCCAAAGAAACCGTCATACAGCGGGCATCTGTTGGAACCCAGGGGGAGGGCTAGCGGGTGCCCCCTACCCGTTAGCAGTTGTCCCTTTGTGCATCTGCTGGGACTGAGCGTGACGAGCACCGTGTGACCACAGAGCAGCCATCTGGCACAGCCAGGGAGGGCAGGAACAGTCTGACCCAGTTGTCATGCTGGCTGGGCCACCTGGAGAAGCAGCTCCCTACCTGTCCCTGACCCGCGCTCTGTACTCGGCACACATGCGCATACGTAATGCACAAGTGCTTATCACGGTCTCCACCCCTAGATGTATTGCACATTGCACTTTGACTCTATAAATTGATACTATGGGACTGGAGCTACAGTACAGCGAGTAGGGCGCTTGCCTTGCACACTGCTGACTGGGGTTCGATTCCTGGCACCCCATATGGTCCTCCGAGCTCCACCATGATTGTTCCGAGAGTTCAGAGCCAGGAGTAAGTCCTGAGCAACACCGGGTAGGCCCCCTGCTCCACACGTCCCCCCAAAAATATACACAGTAGTCCCTTTTATGGGGGGAGGGTTCCAAGACCTCCAGTAGACCCCTGAAATCATGCATAGTTCTCTGGTTTTTCAATTCTGCGGATAACTCCAGAAGCAGTCGGCGATTATTCCAGTCATGAAAGTGACTTCGTTATGGGCTTGGAAAAGCGCCCAGTGTGCGCTCATGTCCCTGAGCCCCCGAGCCAGGACGCCCCTGTGGAGGCTCATCCTCTCATCGCTGGGGGCGCGTTTAAACAGGGCCTCGGTTCGTGAACATGTCAGGCAGTGCAGCCGCCCTGAAGAAGCAGCGGCTGAGCCCTGAGGCAGATGCTGAGGCTTTTCTTGGCGTTTCCAGGAGACCAGCCTTCTTCGAACCCTTGGCCTTGCTGTCGTGGAGCCTGTGCTGCCAGCTGCAGTGCAGTCTCCAGTGCTCGGCTCTGGTGTGGGTCGGAAGGTCTTTGTGAATGTGCCACCCCAGCCCCCCAGGGCTCAGTGACTGAGCACCGTCTGCTGTGCAGGGGCTCCCTTTCACCCGCTACTCCGCCTCTCCCCCTTCCCTTCCTCTTCCTCTCCTTCCCCTTCCTCTCTCCCCTCCCTCTCTCTTTTTCTAAATTTTTTAAATTTTATAATTTTTATTAGTGAAACACCATGAGGTACAGTTGTAGACTTACAAATTTTTGTGCTTGGGTTTCAGTTATACAGTGATTGAGTACCCATCTCTCCACCAGTGCCCATTTTCCACCACCACAGGTCCCAGTGTCCCTCCCATCCCCCCCACCCTCCCATCCCACCCTGCCTCTGTGGCAGGGCATTCCCTTTTGTTCTCTCTCTCCTTTTGGGTGCCATGGTTTGCAAAAGAGGAATTGAGTGGCAGTCATGTTTGGTCCATAGTCTACTTTCAACATGCATCTCTCATCCTGGGAGGGTCCTCCCAACACCCTTTATTTGGCGCTCCCGTCGCCATCTGAGCTGCCTTTTCCCCTAGCATGTGCGACTGGCCTCCAGGCCATGGAGTGAACCTCCTGGTACTTATCTCGGCTATTCTTGGGTGTCAGTCTCCTATTTTGTTACTTTATGTTCCCCTCCCTCCTCTCTCTTGCTCCTTCCCCCCCTCCTTCCTCATCTGTCCTCTCTCTCCTTCATCCACTCCCAGCCTGCACTCTGCACAGGCATAAATCACCCGCGTGCTCACCCTGCGGGCTGCACCCTTTCCCTTTTCTCGCCTTTGCCATCATCTCTTCACTCTTGGCTGGAACTGCACATCTCCTGATTTATCCTAATAGGGAAGTTTTTCCTGCCAGAGTAGACAAGCATGAGAATATCATTATTTTTATAGGTTATAGGTCGTATTTTTAGCTCATTCCAGAATATTAGAAACGGGCAGAAGAAAGAAAGTGGGAAATGCCTGTAAAATGTTGGTGAAGGCTCTGAAGAGGGAACAGAGGGGTCAGTGTAGTGGGGGTGGGGGTGGGCTGGAGGGTCTTGGGTCATTGCACCCCCCTCAGCAGGCCCTTGCTGACCCACAGCCAGGCAGAGTGGTTGCATGACGTGCAGTCCAGAGGGTCTGGATTTGAGTCCAGCTTGTGCCTGTGGGAGCTTTGGGTGTCCTCGGTGCTTGGGGAGTCTCAGTTTCTTGATCTGTAAGATGGGCCTCACAGGAGAGTCTGGGTCATGCTTTGAGCTGGGGTTGGGTGGAGGGAGGCTAGCCTCAAGAGTTCTGTGCCATAAAGTATTAGCCAGAGTGATAACTCCACATACTCTTTCCCTTTGTGCTCTGCAGAGCCATTCAGATGGTGCAAAGCAGACAAGGGCCGTAGTCCTCCCATACCTCACATTGCCCCATGGAGGTCAGGGTGCCAGGCGCTTACTCCTGGCTCTGCACTCAGGCTCAGGATGCCACGTGAGGGAACTAATGGCTCTGTCCTCTTGTGAGCTCCCGGGACACCTGGTTGGGATTTTTTGTTCCCTGAAGGTGGCCGGCCACATCTGCTTCCCTGGGAGCCTGTTTAGTGGAACAGCCCAGGTACCTGGGTGGGCAAACACGGCTTCCTGGTGCTCTGAATGAGAGCCTGCCCTGCCCTCCAGATGTCCCGGGAGCTCACAAGTGGATACCCCACATGCACCCCCAGACTCCTTCACTGTCTTGAATGGGCTCCACACTGAGAACTGTCCAGGTGAGATGGAGGCTGAGTTCCTAAGTGCATCTTCCCTAGAGGGACGGGGTTGACGTCAGTGGCGACCCTGCACTCGTGTTTGTACTTCATCACCCGTGTTCATAAGCCCGCCACGTTGCCATGGGAGCATTCAGCACCCTAGCCATCTCCTGCCCAGTTGACCCCCCAGCGCACTCCCCCTCTGGCTGGGCCCACCTGTGCTTGCTGCCCCACTTCCTAGGCCGGGCTCTGGCATGCAGTCGTTGTTCAGTAAGTGGACAGTGGTTGAGCAAAGGGATCCCATCAGAACATGAGTCAGGTGACCCTCCAAATGCAAGCCACTGGCTTAGTAACAGCTGATGTTCAGTAAGAGAGTCCTCACCCCGCCCCACGTGGCACCCCAGCACCACCAGGAGAGATCCCTGAGCACATAGCCA